TTTTTTTTAGAGATGGGGTTTCACCATGTTGGCCAAGTTGGTCTCGAACTCCTGGCCTCAAGTGATCCACCTATGCCTCCCAAAGTGCTGGGATTACAGGCGTGAACCACCGCGCCTGGCCCATCATCTGGCTACTTAGAGGAGGGCCTTGGAGTGCCCGCTTATATTACTGTCCCAGCTAGTCCCTTCCTCAGTCTTACATTGCCCTTCCCCCAACCATGCAGAAAGCTGGTGAGGGCCGTCGGACAATGACCACAGTGCTGGACCCCAAGCGCAGCAATGCCATCAATATTGGCCTAACCACATTGCCACCTGTGCATGTCATTAAGGCTGCCCTGCTCAACTTTGATGAGTTTGCTGTCAGCAAGGATGGCATCGAGGTGGGGACACCCAGCTATGTCCCTTGGTGGGTGGGAGGTCTGGCCCTCTCCTTGGTAGGTGGGCATTTCCTGTCCCTCCAGTGGTGGGCATGGGCTTGGCATTTCTGCAGGGTAGTCCCCAGACTTTGGGACCTCCCCTAGATGACTGAGGGAGGGGTGAAGACCAATGCCTGAGGCCTCAGGCCTGCACTGAGGGGGCCATGTCAGGCTCTGGCTACATCCTCAGAAGCTACTGACCATGATGCCCACGGAGGAGGAACAGCAGAAGATCGAGGAAGCCCAGCTGGCCAACCCTGACATACCCCTGGGCCCAGCCGAGAACTTCCTGATGACTCTTGCCTCCATTAGTGGCCTCGCTGGTCGTCTACAACTCTGGGCCTTCAAGCTGGACTATGACAGCATGGAGCGGGTACCTGGGTCTTGGAGTGGGATAGACAGTAGGTACAGGTAAGCATCATGACCATGTAGTCTGAGAATCCCTGGTCCCCCATACCAGGAAATTGCTGAGCCACTGTTTGACCTAAAAGTGGGTATGGAACAGTTGGTACAGAATGCCACCTTCCGCTGCATCCTGGCTACCCTCCTAGCTGTGGGCAACTTCCTCAATGGCTCTCAGGTGAGTAAAGTACATGGGGACTGGGGAGTCAGAGCTCTGGAGCCAACCAGGCCCAGGCTCAGAAAGGGTCCTTTCAGAGCAGCGGCTTTGAGCTGAGCTACCTGGAGAAGGTGTCAGAGGTGAAGGACACCGTGCGCCGGCAGTCACTGCTACACCATCTCTGCTCCCTAGTGCTCCAGACTCAGCCTGAATCCTCTGACCTCTACTCAGAAATCCCTGCCTTGACCCGCTGTGCCAAGGTTAGCACCTGCCAGAATCAACCAAGGCCAGAGGAGGCATGAGGGAGCGCTGCTTCCTGGGCCTGGCTCCTCCTCCTCCTCCCTATTTGGGCTGCTGTGCCAGGGTTTGGTCCAGCCACCTTAGTGTGAGCTATGCCCTCTGCCAAACATGTTCTTTCCTCTATTAGCCTGGCCACACCTCCTCAGTCTTTGGGTCTGTTTCTAACTGCCACTTCCCCCAAGAAACCTTCTGTCCCTCATCATATCAAATTGACTTGTCTATCTCTTGTAATGCAAGAGTCTGTGAGTTTTTGGATATCTATGAGTTTTTGGATGTCTCCTTAGAGCCCAAGCTGGCCCGTCTGGCCCAAAGGCAGCCTCGGGCAGTGTCTCGTCTACCAGGTGTGGGGAGACAGTGCACACCCCCTTGTTCTCCCAGGTGGACTTTGAGCAGCTGACTGAAAGCCTTGGGCAGCTGGAGCGCCGAAGCCGGGCAGCTGAGGAGAGCCTGCGGAGCTTGGCCAAGCATGAGCTGGCCCCAGCCCTGCGTGCCCGCCTTACCCACTTCCTGGCCCAGTGTGCCCGCCGTGTTGCCATGCTGAAGATAGTGCACCGCCGTGTCTGCAATAGGTAGGGGTATGGGCCCAAGAGGGGCAGGATCACCACCACCCTCCCTCAGACAACAAGCAGGACTCACCTTCCCTACCTACTCCCACCTGCCTAGGTTCCATGCCTTCCTGCTCTACCTGGGCTACACCCCACAGGCAGCCCGTGAAGTGCGCATCACGCAGTTCTGCCACACACTGCGGGAGTTTGCACTTGAGTATCGGACTTGCCGGGAACGAGTGCTACAGCAGCAGCAGAAGCGGGCCACGTACCGTGAGCGCAACAAGACCCGAGGACGCATGATCACCGAGGTGGATGCCCTTCCAGGTCTTAGTCTTGACTGCCACCCCCATGGTTTCCTTCGCTCCTTCCAGCTCACCTTTCTTCCCTCTCCAGACAGAGAAGTTTTCAGGTGTGGCTGGAGAAGCCCCCAGCAACCCCTCTGTCCCAGTGGCTGTGAGCAGTGGGCCAGGCCGGGGAGACGCTGACAGTCATGCTAGTATGAAGAGTCTGCTGACTAGCAGGCCTGAGGACACCACACACAATCGCCGCAGCAGAGGTGAGACCCACAGCTGCTGGGGGATTGGGCTCCAGGACCACCTTGGCCTGACCTCCCTATCTTGCCTCCCTCAGGCATGGTCCAGAGCAGCTCCCCAATCATGCCCACAGTGGGGCCTTCCGCTGTACCCCCAGAAGAACCTCCAGGCTCCAGTTTACCCAGTGATACATCAGATGAGATCATGGACCTGCTGGTGCAGTCTGTGACCAAGAGCGGTCCTCGTGCCTTAGCTGCTAGGGAACGCAAGCGTTCCCGTGGCAACCGCAAATCTTGTAAGTAACCCCCCACAACCCCACTGCCCACCTGAACCCCATCAACCCCCTCCAATCCTGTTTTGTCCCTGCAGTGAGACGGACGTTGAAGAGTGGGCTCGGAGATGACCTGGTGCAGGCACTGGGACTGAGCAAGGGTTCTGGCCTGGAGGTGTGAATGTGCTGCATCCTGGAAATCTATCTGGACCCTAGACTGCAGTGCAAGAGATGACAGAGTGAGGAGGGCCCAGGGCAGAATTCTGGCCCCAGAACTCTGTAACCAGGAGCCATGCCTTCAGCAGTATTAGCTGTGTGTGTGTGTGTGCATGTGAGAGTGTGTGTGCGAGCGTGCATGCGCATATTATGCATGTGCATGTGTGTGGGCTCCTTGAACTCACGGAGCAAAATAAAATTTTCTTAGCGAATCCAACAGCCTTTTTCTTTCAGGGTCCCCACCAGGCGAGGTCTGTAGCAGGGGGGAAATCCCATAGGACTAGCTCTTCCTGCCTCATCCCTCATCACCCACACAGCCGTCAGCCACATGCTAAGCCATTTATTCAATGACCCTACACAGTATAAGCATACCCGATACCTCAGACTTGCTTTTGGCCCCTGGACTAGGCCCTCATTGCTCCAGGCAAGAGGGGCCATGTAGCCTGACACAGCCACCCAGGGCCAGCGGCCTGTGGCCACAATGTCAATGGCTATAACCGCTTCATCTGCCGCCGCTCCTGTCGGCGCTGCCGTTTCTCATTGTGCTCTGGTACTGGGGTGCCACTGTCTGCAGTGAACCAAGGACCTAGCACATTCACCCACAGGAGGTAAAGGGCCCGGCCTGGAGCCTACAAGAGAAACAGTAACTTGAAGCAAGGTGCAGGGAATAAAAGATAGGAAGAGTTAGATGCTGTTTCTTGGGAGCGCTCCCAGCCCACATACCAGAAGCCAGAAGGACCAGACATAGAGAGAGAAGCAGCTGAGCACCTGCACGATGGCTGTCAGCAGGATGACATCCTTAAGGTGCCTGTGGATAGAAAGAAGGCTGCCAAAGACAGCAGATGGGCCCCAGTTCAACTCCCTTCCACCCTTTTCAAGTTGCAAGTAGCTGTGCTTCTTGGGCTATCTGGGCCCCAGCCCTGGGGCCGCTCACCTGGGCTGGCGGTGGGGGACACTCACTCTGCCATGCCCTGCTCCATGTTGAGGTCCATGCCACCATCCATCAGGACCCCATCCTCAGAGAACGCTGCCCGTGCCATCGAGCTCATAGAGTGGTAGCTGGCCCCATATATTGCCAGACTAAAGCCCAGAGCCAACTGCAGAGCAAGAATGAGGGTATAAAAGGCCAGCCACTAACCCTATGCACTCATCCACCTCCCACCTCCCAGGATGTAAATACTTACCCAGGCCCAAAATGAGGCAGATGAGTAAAAGAAGACCAAGGTCACAAGGCAGTAAATGGCCTGCAAGCAATCACAGGATCAGGCTGGGGTCAGAAGATAACTTCAAACCACGGGTCTCCCTCAACTCTGACCAAGGATTAGGCCAGGCTGTGGGAGGAGCAAGGTTGTTCTTACTGGCTTGAAGGAAGGGTCCCGCTCCCTGAATCCCAAATACCCAGACTCTCCTCTGACACCCAACTCAGTCCAGGAAAGAAGCCTTTGTGTACTTGTAGGTAGGAAGGGCTCTCAAATTCAGCTATGACTGAATTCATTTCCTTTGTGTTTTACTAGCCAGCACTTTCTCTGTGCCCAGATCTTCTCTCATTTCTTTCTGACTGGGGCTCTCTTCTAGAGCTCTGTCGGGTACCAGTACTCCTCACCAAGCAGGGCTGAGGACTGGGGACTGTAAGTGGGCATAAAAGCAAGGAGGCAGGCACTTACATTGGCCCCTAGTATGATCCGCAGGTAGAATTTCAGGGTCTCTCTGTTCTCTTCAAATATCTGCTTCTTCCCTCTCGTGCCCACTTTGCCCTTGGGCTGAAGAGGGATGATGAGATGCAGTCAGGAGGCCACCGTCCTCCTTATTCTCCCCACCAGCCTGGTTAGCTATAGAGCTCCAGCCGCAACTCAGCCAGGTTCCCGTAGTGCTGAAACCTAGCACAGTCCCTGGAATGTCCACCCATCCTCCAGTCCACCCTGTCTAGGGCTGACACCATCTCTCCAGCACCCACAGCTAGGATCGCCTCCCGCTTGCCCTGGAACAATTCAACCCTAAGCTAATACCGCCTCTGGCTCCGCTGGTAGTCTGGCTGTGGGCTAACGACTCTTCCAAAGGTACTCCTGAGCGGAGTGCCTCTCTCATGCCTCCGCTGGCGTAGGCCCGATCTGGGCTAACGCCCACCTCAGGTCAGAGATTTCTGGCCTGCTCTGGTACCGAAGCCCACCCTACTCCGGCACTAGTACTGGTATGGTCCTGCGCCGCCATCCCCCTGCCCCGCTCTACTACAGTCTGGTCAGGGGATGGCGTCCCCCTCCGGCCCACCCCACATCCCTTAATGTCCTTTCTTAGTTTTCACTCTCACAGCCCCGGGAGAGCTTTGCTGGTGAGGACCCTGCCCTACCCACTCTTCTTACCGCCATGGTGCGAGGCAAACACCCAGCCCAGGAAACAAGGGAGAGCGACCGAAACCGCAATCACTAAGCACCACATCCGCAGCGCATATACTTCCGGCGCAGACCGAAGTCGTCAGCTTCTGGGACGGAAATAGGACTCACTTCCTTCCTAAGCCCCGCCTCAGATGGGCGAGACTACACTTCCCAGAAAGCATTGCGCGGGGGGCGGAGGAGGCAGGGATGCGATGGCGGAGTCGCTGCCCCAGGAGGTGAGAGGAAGCCGCCCTCAGGCCTAGCTCCGGACAGGCCCCGCCCTCGGGGTCCCGAGCTTTGGGGGAGGGGCTGTCAGATAGCTAGCCCGGCCCCTCCAGCCTGGCGGAAACGACCCGCCCGGCAGATTCCGGGACCTACTAGCTCTGGGTAACGGCTCTGCCTTTGGGCCACTCTGTCCCCTTAGCTTGGGGGACCGTCCTGCCCTTCCCCATCGGCCCCAGGAGATGGCTGCCCTGTTACCTCAGCGAGAACAGGCCCTCTGCCCATCTCCTTCCCTTGAGGTGGCTGTCTCCTCTCCCCTCACTTCTGGAAGATGTCCGCTCCATCTCATCGTCCCGAAGGGTAACTGATCTTATCCCCATTGGTCCCTTGGGATGATCTCTCCATTTCCTACGCCCCGACAGAGACAGCCGCCCCCTCTCCCTGGCAGTGAGAAACAGACTGCTTCCTCCCCATCAACTGCAGTGATCTCTGAGTTCCTTTAGCTAGGACAGGCCTGTTCCGCATTCCCAGGCCCCGAGTGATGGCCGCCCTTACCTCTTTCACTCCATAGGATGTTTGCTCCTTCCTCTTAGCCAGGGACAAGACCACTCTGCCCCCATCTGCCAGGAAGATAACAGGTTTTGTCCCCAGTGGCCTGTTGGAATGGCTTCACCATCTTTTGTCCTGAGGTTGGCAAACCCCTCTCTCTGCCCATGGGAAACAGGTCACCAGTCCTGGAATGATGCTCCCTATACTTAGCAAAAATAGGCCTGTTCCCTCCCCGTTGAGCTTGCAGTGCCATCCCTTCCCTGCCTAGCTTCAAGGGCTAACTATTCCATCCCCATAAATCCTATGAGTGACCAATCATATATCCAGTAGCCCCCTTGAAATGGGGCTCATGGGATGGCCACTCCATCCTTATCACTGCCTCCTCTGGTTCCTTTAGAAAGACTACCCCCTTCTTAGGTCAATGAGTATCCCTCCCCGACTCACCCCAAAGGATGACAGGTTTGTTCCCCTCTCTCTTTGTTCTTGGGTTGGCTGCTTAGCCCCAAAAGACAGAATGGCCAGTATCTTAACTCAGCTCAAACAGGCTTCCTTCCTCCCCAAAGGGATTGGGGCTTGGTTAGTCCCAGTTCCCATCAGTACTGTCTTCCCCATGCCTAGCCTTCCTGGTCCAGAAGTCTATTCTCCCAGTCATTCTCCTCTCAGTAATGACTATTTTATTTCCCTGACCCCTTCCCTGAGCAAACTCTTGGTGAAAATAGAGGTAGAGGACTGGACTGTCCATCCTAAATTTAATCTAGTAAGTACTGGCTGAGCACTGCGCCTATATGCTTGGCATCTGAGAAGGGAAGGAGCGATTACAATGGGTTGGTGAAGTCAAGGTTCAGGAAGGGCATCCCAGGGAAAAGGCCTGCATAGGCAAAAGGAAATAGATATGCTGTGTTTGTAGGACAGTGGGGAGACTGGATTGGGGAAGTTCAGGGACCAGCAAGTCCAATTAGGCACGAACACCTGACAGTGCTGATCCAGGAGTAGAGACTGTCCTGAGAGTATTGGTGAACCCTGAAGGTTTACGGCAGGGGTGAGCTGAAACTGAAAGCTGTTTTATAGGTAAAATTAACCTTGTAACAGTGTGCAGAATGTATTAGCAAGGATGAACTTGGAGGCAGAGAGTTCAGGTGGGAGATTGTGGAAGGAATCCAGGTTTCAAGTGGTGGAAATCTGAACTACTGAGGTGGGAAAGTTGCAAAGGCAGAGATTTTACTAACAACAATCCAGCAACCATTTATGGAGCATCTACTTTTCACGAACACACTATATATATGTAAAATGTAATCTCATAAGACTATGATCTAGATTTTTTTTAAGTATCCCTATTTTATAGATATGGAAACTGAAACTCAGAGAGGTCAAATACCTTATTTAAGGTCACACAGCACTATGACAGGAAGTATTGGAGCTGGAATTTGAATGAGTCTAGGTTAGGCTGGCCTAAAGCCTGTGCATTACACCTGTATCTGGGAGGAAGGGACAGAAGTGCTTGAATAGTCCGAAGTGTTCAGGGACCAGCAAGTCCAATTAGGCACGAACACCTGACAGTGCTGATCCAGGAGTAGAGACTGTCCTGAGAGTATTGGTGAACCCTGAAGGTTTACGGCAGGTGGATGCACTGTTGGCATTGAAGGGGAAGTTGGGAGGGGCTGTTTTGGGCTGAGGGTAGAATATGAGCTTTGGTTGAGATTAGATCGATGGCTAAACATTTGCATGGACAGTTGGCAATATGGATTAGCATTTAGATAATAAGACAATATGGGAATATTGACTTGTTGGTTATTCCTGTGTTGGTAAACAGAAAACCAAAAGACACAGGTCTGAGCCCTAGGAGCCACAGAAGAATCCAAAAATGAGGCAATTGGGATGCAGGAAGGAAGATTCCAGAAGAAAATAATAGTTAATATCAAATAATTCTAGGCCTCAGTGGCAACCCCTTCCCTAGTTCTGTTTAGGGCTTTGACCCACACCACACCCTAGGTGGGGGGAAGGGCCTGAGCTTCCCAGGCTAGGTCTTGCTGGGATCAAATCTTAACAACCAGTGGAGAGGGCAAGGTGGCAGTGGAGAACATGGCAAAAGAGCAGGGTCTCAGAGCCTGAGCCATGAGGGCAGGAGGACCTATGATTTCCTGAGAATCAGAGGGAGCATACCTGGCCTGCTGTGCTCTAGGTCCTATGCAAGACACTTGGCTATGTTCCGTTTTTTGTTGTTTTTTTCTAAGATGAAGTTTCGCTCTTGTTGCCCAGGCTGGAGTGCAATGGCACGATCTCGGCTCACTGCAACCTCTGCCTCCCAAGTTCAAGCAATTCTCCTGCCTCAGCCTCCCAAGTAGCTGGGATTACAGGCATGTGTCACCACGCCTGATGAATTTTTGTATTTTTAGTAGAGAAGGGGTTTCACCATGTTGATCAGGCTGGAGGTTCTCGACCTCCTGAACTCAGGTGATCCACCCACCTCAGTCTCCCAAAGTGCTGGGATTACAGGTGTGAGCCACCACACCCAGCTGGCTGTGTTCTTTAATTCTCACAATAACCCATTTGATCTCACTACAACTGCCATTGCCCCAGATAAGGAAAACAAAGTTCAGAGAGGTCAGTTGGCAGGGTAGAGATGTGAACTAGGTTTATCTGGCCTCAATGCCCAGGCTTTTTCTACCCAGCTAGGCAGGAAGTTTGATTCTTATCACTCAGTGCAAGCCTGTATCCAGCTCAGGAAAGGTCTGTTCACAGTAAAGATACCTGAAGCCTGGAGCAAGGAAATGAATGCTTCGTGAAGCTTCACATCCAAGATAAAGAAGTCAGTGCTCTGGTGCCCTCAGACCCATGGTACTGTCAGCTGGAGTTGGTTCCAAAGACCTTCCAGCTCTAACAGCCCCCAATGCCCTGTCTTTTTCCCTCAGATGCTCACATATATTCTGAGCTTCCTGCCTCTGTCAGATCAGAAAGAGGCCTCCCTCGTGAGTTGGGCTTGGTACCGTGCAGCCCAGAATGCCCTTCGGGAGGTAAGGCACCCACCCTCCCCTGTCCCTTCCTCAGTTTTTTCTTACTTCAGCTTACTCGTGACCCTGCTCATGTATCTCCATCCATCTATTCATCCACCCATCCATCCATATATTCTCATACATATACGTATAAATACATACATTCATACATAATTGGCTCTGGGTACAGTGCTGGGGCTATATAGATAAAAAGACACAGTTCCCTAAGGAGCTCACATTACTTGAAGGAGAAAGACAAGTAATATGAATGATCATGCTATCGTGTGCTCAGCGCTATGACACTGGGGCAAGAGTTCGACGGGGACATAAAGAAGGACATCCGGAGGAGACTGGTGGTGTCAGGGAAGGCTTCCTGAAGGAATAGGATGAGAAGAAAGGTTGGGCTAATGGGATGAGTAATAGCACAAGTGAAGGCACCATGGTGTGGAATACTTTTGGAAACAATCGCACAAGTTCTGTGTGGCTGAAACTGAGACATGGCAGGAGATGAGCCTAGAACGGTGTCAGGCAGCAAGCTGGCAGATGTACCAGGCAACAGAGCTTGTTTTTCTCCTGATGACCATTGAGGAGACTATTAGGTAGGTGAGTGACACAGTGTGATTTGTATTAGAACTCTGCAGTGCAAACTGGACTGGGAGAGTGAGACAGCATAGGGAGGAGGCCAGCCAGGAGGGGAATGCAGACATCTGGGCTAGTTTGAAAGGCAGGCAATGATGGCTTATTGTTTTAATTTTGATTTGTTAGTGAAGTTGCACTGTTTTTCTCATTAGCTCAACTTTTGTATTTTCCCCTTTTGTTTATTTTATTTTTTATTTTTTATTTTTTTTTTGAGACGGAGTTTCGCTCTTGTTACCCAGGCTGGAGCGCAATGGCGCGATCTCGGCTCACAGCAGCCTCCGCCTCCTGGGTTCAGGCAATTCTCCTGCCTCAGCCTCCCGAGTAGCTGGGATTACAGGCACGTGCCACCATGCCCAGCTAATTTTTTGTATTTTTAGT